TTTTTTTTTTTTTTTTTTTTTTTTTTTTGTTTTTTTTAGCAACTGGTGCTTTATTAACTTAGCTAATTTCTGCAGATTTAAGGATATATCCATTAAGCCCATGCACACTTTATTTACTATATCCTTGCCCCTTGTCACATAAAAATTCTACAAATGTAACTTTTTTCCCCCCCATCTCCAGGCTCTTTACATGTTTCTGGCGCTTGCTATAACATGTGATGAATACTTTGTGACATCACTGGAGAAGATCTGTGAGGTACGTGGTGGTTGTCATCCTCTCTTCCCAAGTTACACTTTTACGGTGTATGTAAAACCAATCATCTTTGCTTAATTCCTGCAGAAACTAGATCTAAGTGAAGATGTCGCAGGAGCCACCTTCATGGCAGCTGGCAGTTCTGCACCAGAGCTTTTTGCATCTGTCATCGGTACTCATGCATACATACAAGCAGTATGTGCACCCACTCAGACGTTCCCAGATGGTCTGTGTCACCACTAATTCTGACTGGCTGCCTCCTTGTGTGCAGGTGTCTTCATCACCCACGGTGATGTGGGGGTGGGGACCATCGTTGGCTCAGCGGTCTTCAACATCCTATGCATCATTGGTGTCTGCGGGATCTTTGCTGGACAGGTGTGTGCGAGAGAGAGGAGTGACTTACTGCTGTGACTGTATCGTTCTGTTTATTTATAGACTGCAGAGCATCACATGTGTCGCATTTGAGGGGAAATGAAGCAATCTGCTTCAGTTTTCTTAGAACTGGTTTTAGTGAAAGTGGAGAACTAAACTGCAGGTGTAATCAGAAAGTGTTCTGCAAATATGTTAACTGTAACTCAAGAGATACTTTCTGTGAATTCTTAGGTGGTGATGCTGACCTGGTGGGCTGTTTTCAGGGATTCCTTCTATTACATCCTGTCTGTTGTGGCTCTGATTGCAGTAAGTTATTGCATGTGTTTATTAATGAGTACTTGCCATGACTGTGCTGTAATCAAAAAATAATAATTTCTTTTTATTTTTCAGTTCATCTATGATGAGAAGATAGTTTGGTAAGCTGTGCATTTAACCATATTTATAGTGAGGTTGTTTAAAGTTTTCCAACTTTTTAGTTCGTTTCAGTTAGGACAGCTTTGCTTGATTCAGTTTGCAACAATCCTTTGCTGTTATACATTGGTGGTTGGTGTAGACAAAGGATGTCAAACATGAGGCCCAGGGGCCGGAATCGTCCCACTCCAGTCCGGCCTACTGGTAAATGTGAAGGAGAGCGTACAGTTTGGACTTTTAATTGTATTTTCATAGATTTTCCTGTTGTCTTACTCATGAAAACCTCGCCCACAGTCTTTCATATTACACCTTTTTTTTTTTTGTGAATTAAGAAAAAAATTCTGCTTCATACTGTCTTATTGCTGTTATTGCATTCATCCCCCCCATAATTTTACACATTTATTTCTTACGATTAAAGTCATCATTAAAATAGAGCAGCATGTCTTTATCATGTTGAAATTGCATTTCTATTCCTTATTTTGAGATCGCTGGGATTCAATGTGCATCTAAACTTGATGGGATTTTTACTGGTCTAGGGATCAAAGTGCGCTGTATGTGTGATGCTGTAAAATGAGTTTGACGTCCCTGGTGTAGCTCCTCAGTACACCCATTATTTGCTTTTCTTTAAGACATCTTTCTTTTGATTAGCTTCCCCTCATAGGGCAGGTTTGAAAAGCAAGTGGGAGGGGCCGCTGTATTAGTCATGTAATACCTCGAAGCTTTATAAGCTAAAACGTATAGCCTACTGAATTCCTATTTAACTTCTTATATACAAGTCGAGCCATTTTAATTTTATTCCTCATCCTGTCTCTCCATCAGGTGGGAGAGTTTGGTGCTGGTGCTCATGTATGCAGGATACATCCTCGTCATGAAGTGAGTCTTGCAAATTCTTCTTACAGCTGCTTTTGTTGAATCAGGCTGGAATCATGATAACACATTCTGCTTCACGCCCTTATGCACTAACAACCTGCATAACCAACCGTGCGTGCACAAATGAGCAGCGGATTTCCAGCTACTCGTATTGTCTGACTAGTGTTACAAGCTCATTCAACACGGGAGCTTTGTGGAGGAAAACTTGCTCAAATTACAATTAATAGTGTTAATGTGTCTAAATTTTAGCTTTATTTATAGGATGCTGTCTTGAGAAAAGGAAAGGAATCATGGGCATTTCAGATTTTGGAGTTCATTGCACTCAATTTTTGTCTTTCCAGACCAAAGTGAATAATGCCAACCAGGTTGTCCTCTGCTGCTTTCTCTGTCCAGCTGGTAATCTGTGTTACACTCAGCAGCAGTCTGCTCTCTCGCTGCCATAAGAGTTTAATCTCTCCCCCCCTCTGCAGTGGCTAAGAGCACAGGCTTAACCAGATCACTCCTTTTCTTTCTCATTTGGAGGAAAGAAGTGCTTACTCTAGGATATGCTGTCATGTTATTCCAGTTGAAATGGAATAAAGTGGGTTTTATATAGCACAGTCTGTGCACTGAGGTGACCTTGTAGTGCACGGCTGTGATTTTTCACAAGCAAGCTGCACACATGCTGCTAAATGACAGCACGGAGAAGTTAGGTGCATAAAATGTAAGAATAATAAATCACTATAAATACTTTAACATTTATAAGGATTTGTTAAATTAGATGTAATTATTCATTTGTCCTTGAAAGCTAAGATTATGTTTAAAAGTTATTCAGTAGTTATGCACTATGGTATATTACACATATGAAGTATGTGCATGAGCTTGTAATTATATGCACAAAGCCTCTTTTTACCTGTTGAATGTTTGAGAAAATGTCTTGCCCCGAACACGTCGTGTTTAACTAGAAGGGCTTTTTATTGATGTCCTCAGGTAGTCTTTTATTCCCATTCTGTCCTCAGACTCAGAGTTCATTTGAGAGGGAAAAAGGCAACACAGAAAACACAATTTAAAAATTGAAAAACAAAAATGATACCCTTGGATCTTCTCTTGCAAACTGCAGCCTATAATCACAAACAATTTTAATTTTTAATGTTTCCAAAGGTGTCGAGGGGCTAGAGTAGCTCTTGTAATGCTGCCAGTGTAACCTCTACGCAAATTATGTTCAAAGGCAGCGGTGTTGTTTTTTGATCCATTTTTATGTAATGGCACTCAAATGGTCCTGCTGAGAGTCTGAGGCTGAAAAGCTTGTTAATGCCTTCTGGGGATATTTTCTTTCTCTCTTACGCCAATGCAGAGCAGCTCATTATGTATAATGTAATGTGCTGATATTTATTAGAAAGTGAGCCACCTGAGTTGTAAATTGTATAGGAGAAATAAGAGGATTATTCCGGCTAATTAATACGTGCTATATTTCAAACAAATTGGTGCCTTTCATCTAAAGCTGATAAACCCATTTGCAAATAAATCTTGTGACTTTTTTTTCTCCTGCACTATCTTTGATTCATGTATTATGTTTAATCTTTTTACTAGATTCAACTCCAGCATGCAGAAGTTTTTCATGGGAAAGTCAAACAAAAATGTGGCAAATGGCAACGCGGCAGCCAGCAGTGAGATGGAGGACGGTAATACTAGTTATGGCTATGTTTGGGATGACGACCCGTCATCGCCTTTACTTCCAGGTAAGGTTAATCAGACAGGCTGCGTACCCATGACTAGTCTCTGCTAAATGAGAGACTGTATGTTGAAAAGGCAACAACGTGGTTAATCCTATGGAAGACTGTGGGTATTTCCTCCTGTTATAAAAGGGCTGTGGCTTTGATCTTTGCTTCCTTTTGGCTAACTAACCTGAAATGCTTCTGCTTTGTTCTTTTAAAAATATGCCCAGAACAGTAGTTAAACATGTTGTGAAATGAACTCATTTACAACTTGGTGGTTGGATGAGAAGATCAATACCACTCATAAGAATGTGAAGCTATAGCCTACAAACTAAAACTGCTAGCCAGTGGTCACATAGCCATCTGCCCTCTTTGTTCTTGTAAAACAGTAGGCTATCCCAGCTGTACCTACATTCACTCACCTTCCACTTCATTATTAACGCCTGTTCAGCTGCTTGTTAATGCAAATATTTAATCACAGTCACATAACAGCAAATTGATGCGTTTATGCGTGTACACGCGGTCAAGACGACCAAACGAGCATCAGAATGGTGAAGAAAGGATTTTCCCCACATTGGTTTTACAGAGACTGGAAAAGGAAATATCCAGTGAGCTACAGTTCTGTGATTTTAAAAATGCTTTTTGGGTGTCAGAAGTCTGAGAATCGCCAGACTGCTTTGAGCTGATAGAAAGGGAACTGCAACTCAAATAACCGCTCATTAAAACCAGGGTTTGCAGAAGAATGTTAAATGTCACAGCCTGCTTCAGTAGTGTAGCTGACAATGTCCATCCCCTTATGACCAATGTACCCATCTCCTGGTGACTGCTTGCATCAGGATACTGCACCATGTCACAAAACTCACGACATCTCGAACTGCTCTCTTGAACATGTGTTCACTGTACTCAAATGGCTTCCACGGTCACCAGATCTCAGTCCCTTTGGGATGCAAGGTGTACACCAGTGGGTGGTGAGTTTATTTGGCATATAAACATGAGTGGAATCAAAAAGACATTTCACAAAATGTCAACTATTTCTTTTAATAATTCTTCAGAAGCACAACAAGCAAACTTCGCAAGAGACGATTTGTCATGTCCAAACCCCCCCCTCCAAAACTCATTTTCTCAGTTCTCCTTTGGGTGATAACCAAGTGTAGCTTTTTAACAAGCACAAAATGAAGTTTTAAAAGGGCAACAACATAATAAAGTTCAACAAAATCTTTTCAGATTAGTTTAATGTCACACAACATGTTTTAGGTCTCAAGGTTATTCTGGGAGAAAAATTAGTCTTTTAAATAATACCATTGGTGTCATGTTACAGTACTTTATAGCCACAGTCCTCTACTTCTTCCTTCTTTTTGAACTCTCAAAGGTTTTTAATTAGACATGTAACCCTTCTGAGAGACCTAACCTTTCCTACTTTGGCTGCATTAGTGCTAACATGCCTGTCTGTTTAGCCTTACTAAACTTTTTCTTGCTTGTTGTCAACAGTGTTGTGCTGCTGTGTGCCAGTTCTTTCTGCTTGCATACTACTTTTCTTCTGCTGATCTCTGGGGTGTAGACCCACTCGCTCCTGAAGTGGTAATGAATTTCACAAGAGGAAATGTTTATGCCAGCTCTGTTTACATATTTAATTTATGTGCATTCTTGCATGTATAATAAGTCAAATTAAGGCTGAGTAAAACTAATAAGTGGACTGTAGAACTTTTAATTCCCCACACACTGAATCTTAGTACTAATTGCATGCAAAGACCAAATGTGGATTTGCTGGGTGCCAATAAAGCAGGCCGAGTTGAAGTCTGAAGCGGACTGTTTAACGTGTCAGCCAAATTACAGCTCGAGTTGAGTCAAAGGTTCCTGCGGTTACATGTTCAAAGATGCACCCTTTGAAATCAGTCTTGGTTGCTAGTTTTAAATATTTAAAAAAAATTTATTTTACAAGACAATATGGGAGAGCTATTTGAAGTTCAGTATCCAGAAATCATATGAACTGCACTTATTTTAACCAACCCAGTTGCTGTGTAAAACTCTCCTGTCAATATTCCAGAAGCACGAAACACTTGGGAATCAAAGGGTTTTTGAACATCTCCTTTTCTCCACAAGCATTCCTCTTCTACCAAGTAACTTTGAGATTGAAGTCCAGGAAAGGCAGAAAATTCATATTTTTGTACTACGAGCATTTATGGAGAAACGTTTGTAATGGGCCCTTGCTTTTCTAGCATGCGCCACACACATTCTTAGTGATAGTTTTACATTTTTTCCATCCATTTATATCTCCAAGAAATATCATAATGTGCAAAAACTAATGTAGGAAAGAGGAATGCTGATAGGATTCATCATTCCTAAGTGGTGATGCAAGAATCTGAATCGAAACAAGTTTAAAAAAAAAAAATAAATAAAAAAATTCAACTCTCAAAAACACTAAAATTCTTATTTTTCTTTTGCTAGGTAGTTTGCCTTGGAGTACACATTTTGTTACCATGGCAAACGGGGGTAGCCAGGAGGGCACCAACTGGTCTCTAGACGTGTCTGACTGAGGCGTCAGTAAATCACCAACTTGAGATCAGTTTCTATATAGCTTTATTGTAGTTTCACATTGGAGAATTTTATATACAATTTTATATAAAACTTTCATCTCTGTAAATCCACTTAAATATGATTGGATAATCTAAAAAGTTGAGTTGAATTGTCTGAGAAATATCAAATTTGGCATTTTCTTACAGTCTACCCATTTGAAGCGAATTGAACTGAACTGTATGTGCTAAGATTGGCATCCTGGTGCTCCAAACCAACAATGTTACCTTACAATTGGATTCAGAGAAGCACTTACCCTGTCACTGAGAGAGCAGGTGACATAAAGGCACCAACAGAAAAACAGAAAAAGATGGCTTGAAAGAAATGATGGATTTTTCGAAAAGGAAGGCATCCAGATTTGTAGATGCAAGGTATTCCTCATCTTGGGATGGTTTTACTTGATATATTTGACATCTAACTGCCTTCACACTGATTGGGGAGTGGTAGAATAATAATATGGTCTAGTGCAGCTCTGTTTGACACTAATTAAATGGCAGCTTAGTTCTCAGTAATGCTTTATTTTGGCTTGGAAGTCTATAGCGCTCGAGACTACAAATTTATATAGCAGATGTTTTTCTTTTTTTTTTCCTTTTTCTTTTTTTTAAATATGCTGTAATGGTTTGGACCATTATTGGTTTGTCTTGTATTTATTGCTGTAATGTGTGCTTCTACCCCTTTAGTCAAGCCTAGCAAAGCTTACAGCCGCGGCTCTGTGGTGATGGTGGATGAGATCATGAATGCAAGCCCTTCAAAGTTCAGGTTCCCAGAGGCTGGCCTCCGTGTCATGGTGACCAGCCATTTTGGACCCAAGACCCGCCTGCGCATGGCCAGTCGCCTCATCATTACAGAGGTACAGCTGGCCGTTGGTGCTCCAGTAACTAGATTTAGCTGCCTTTTACAGGTTAAAGGTGGGAACTATTTTCAGCTTTGTGTTTCTAAGAAGGCCTGAAGGGTTTTATGTCATCATACACTTACATAATTTTATTGTACAACTAGAGGAACAAAATCAATTTTAAAAGCAGAAGTAGTAGCACGTTCGCTCATGTGCTCTTTGACTTAGTTTGTTTCTTTTGAAAGCGCCAGAAGTTGGTGCAAGCTGCCAATGGTGTGGAGACACAAGTGATCGACGGGAAGGTTGAAATCGAGAATGGAAACGTGCCAGAGGACAAACCCAGCGAGGTGGTGGAAAATGACACCATCTCACCTTTTCATATTCCAAGTACGTGCTTGATGCATTTCTTTGATGAACGCGTGTAATTGGGGACACACAGACATGCCAGTCATATTTCAAAACTTGCTATGCAGCTTCCTGTAGGTATAGATTTTTAAAAACTAGAAGTGCTGTTAGTGCTTAGAGGAATGCTTAGTTGGATGGCGCTGCTCAGTCTGCTCAAGAATTTATTTCTGCTTCGGCAGTTATTGATGTCCTTGCTTAAATTGGGCAGTAGGTTCTTGTATACCAACTAATGATTATCCTCTTTGACATCTCTAAGCAGGGCTGCCCTTTTATCAGTCAGTGTCTGCTCATGTGAAAAGACTGAATCTGATTATCCTGATTTATCATGAAACTGACGAATCTAAGTGGGTGGAATTGGTGTTGCATCTTGTTAGATTATAAATGACATGGAAGAGTAAAGGTTTTGGTGCCTTAAGGCACACTGAAATCTTTTTCCTCAAAATGGAGTGCTCTGTCAGTATGAGAGCTTCATTTAAAAAAGAAATGAAGCTTGATGCTCTGTGTTTGTGGTAAATGACAGATGAGGCAACATGTTTATGTTCACTAGTAAAACCAAAGAGGAACTGAATACAAATGGAGCTACAGTTTTGACAGTCATTTTCAGTGTGACCTTAAGCTGAATAGTTCGCAGTTGCAGACTGTTTAGGCTGTACGTGTAACAGTCTTCATATAACGCTGTAAGTGATGTGTATTTCTAAGTATACCACAAATAATTTGAAGGTCAAAGCAAAAAATGACCGAATTCACCGAAAGGTGTAAACATTTGAAAAAAGGCCAGGAAAAAACATTAAACGGGAACGGATTTGTTTTTGTTGGCATGTGATGCTAAAGCTAATAATTATTTTTCATTTTTTATAAATGAAGCCTGGCCAAAATAAATTGACAATTTTGATCTCTTGCTGTTGTTTCACTGCAGGGGGTATAGGCAGTAAGTTTAAGTGGCTGATCTCGTGGCCTCTGCTCCTGCTGCTGTTCTTTACGGTCCCAAACTGTGCCAAGCCTCGCTGGGAGAAATACTTCATGCTCTCTTTCATCCTGTCTACTGTCTGGATTGCAGTCTTCTCCTACTTTATGGTCTGGATGGTGAGTGTAATGTTTGTATGCCAAAGATCATTTGCAAAGCACAAAGTGAAACGTTTTAATTTTGCTTGACTGCTGCTGAAGTAATTATTTGATTTAAAAAAACCAAACTGTTAAATATGAAAGCAGAAAAGTGAAAATTGGTGTAAACTGTGTTTTATGTAATTGAAAGTGGAATTTCTATTGCTGTGGGAAAATAAAACGCAAAGAAATTTAAGCCCCCATTATGGGGTGAAATGGTGGAGAGTGGAAGCCCAAAACATTCTCCAAATCCAGTCCAAATTAAATATGATGAATCACAGCAGCATAAATTGCAACCATGAAGGCAGCTACAAAAGCAAATAGGGTTACTTAGTTTACTTTTTTAAAGTCCTGTTTTAAGCTGAGGCTTTTAGTAGCCTGCAATCCATAAATTCAAAAGGTTTCCATTTGGATAAGACTGCTGTCACCCCTTTTTAATACAACACAACTATGCTATGAGAATAGAGGCGCTTTAAATTGTATTTTAACCTAAAAATGTCTTGGACTACCCTTACATGCTAGCTTTGAATGGCTTGTTGCTAGCTTGGTCAGCAGCAATCTAACACTTGCAATCCAAGGAACATAGATACAAGATGATGCTCCGATTTCATTTGGGGAGCTGATTTTTTTAATTTTTATGTATATATTTTACAAAGGCTAAAAGTTAAGCAAACACTACTGGTTATATTAACTGTTCTTGCCATGTGTCTAGCTACCATATAAGCAACAGCATAGTCAACTGAAATCATTCCTAACAATGTTGAACGGACTGAAGATTCATACTATGGTTCAACATATTTTTTGACATTTATCTTTTGTCTTGCTTTGTGTTGCCATTTGTTGAGCACTGTCTCCCACGTGTACTTTCAGGTGACCATAATCGGCTACACTTTGGGAATTCCTGATGTTATCATGGGCATTACTTTCTTGGCGGCAGGAACCAGCGTCCCAGACTGCATAGCTAGTCTCATCGTGGCTCGGCAAGGTATTTTCACCTTTTCCGTGGTTTTTAAATGGGCTCAAGTTTATTCATATAAGGGCTCTTTTCCAATCCTAAAAGCAGCTGCTCTGCCTGCATTACACTTAACCATAATTGATGTTGCCAGTGCCACCCCTCTCATGTGAATGCACAGTGAAAACCCCGATAACTTATCTTGATTAACTTACCCCAAGTTTGGCTATGAGGATAATGGAAAGATTGCCTGAGTATTTTTTTGAAATTGCTTTGTAGAACAGTCCTCTGGTATACAGAGCAGTATATGTTAAACTTGATTACTACAAGGTGCCCAAATGATTGTAGAGTTGAATATGAGGCAATCTGTGGAACAGTGTACAGTGAATTATGTAACAAAGTGATCACAACTCTACAAAAATGACTGTCTAGACATCAGCCTCATTGAAATGCTGTTTATCTATGAATGCCTGGAAACCTCAATGAACCGAAGCAATGCTGTAAAGACTTGTGAAGTTTTTCCAAATTCTGCTTCTATATTTGTGTTTTTGTTGAAAATGACTGTGCATTATGTTGGTTGCTTTTACCTAATTTTAAGACCTAAAGAGGACTTTTTACCATGACAGTATATTGAACATACAAGAAAATTTGAATAAGCATTTGCTAGCAACATGCATCAAAACCACCGTGCTACATGACCTCATCTCACCTCTCAGAGAAAGCATCAGGGTTCCTGGATTGTCAATAAGTTGTTTTTGTTTTTTGTTTTTTTTTGTTTGTTTTTTTTAAATTTGGTTTGAAGAAAGCTCTAAATTCTTTGCATTTTTTGTTGTTGTGAAATGTCATTGTTAAATTGAAATATTTGCCCTTGCATTCGGTCATAATGATGAATCCATCCCCATCTGCACTTAAGGGCCCAGTCCTGCCTCTGATTTATTTTGGGGTTTCCTCAAACGCACAACCCCGTGAGCAACTTTTCCAGTGCTGTTACCCTTCTCAACTTTTTAAAAAACATGTTGCTCAGATATAGAATTGACACTTTTGTAAATATAACATCTTTAACATTTAGTTTTTACATTGATGCTTAATATGTCCCCCCCCTTTCTTTTAAAAAGGATGTAATCTATTTACATGTAGAATTGTATGAAACCCACAGATGGAAGCTGTATGTGTTGCATGTATACAGGCTTGAATTTAGAAATGCAAAGCTGGAAATACTGCTTTTTTTTTTTTTTTTTTTTTGGTAAATTTTTTGGATAGCTAGATATAGGAACTAGTGCAGTATATGTTCAAAGCTGTCAGTTGTCTTTTATGTACATAGACACAAGGTTTTTTTTTTTTTTTCCAAGTGGAGAAGTACTCAAGATCACAGAAACAAGAGGAAATAGTACAGCGCTGTTTATAGACGTTACTCTGCAGGTATGCGTCACTGCTGAATAAGGTTAGGGCCCTTGTGAATACCAGAAGCTACAGAACAGCAGAATTGTTGGAAGTGAAGCATTTTTATTTTACCCAAAAGTCTAGAAGAGAAAACTTAAGTTTTTAAACAACTTTGTTTGGTCTCTTTTCTTGCAGGTTTGGGAGACATGGCAGTGTCCAATACCATTGGCAGTAATGTCTTTGATATTCTAGTGGGACTTGGGGTTCCCTGGGCGATGCAGACCATGTGCGTTAACTATGGATCAGTGGTGAGAGGCTAGTTTGCTCTACAAGAGTTTGTACTTGATCGTTTCTGTTCTATTAAATGGATGAAACCACCAAAATCCAGGTGAATCGTGCACATGAGTCTTCTTTGTGTTTCAGGTGATGATTAACAGTCAGGGGCTGCTTTACTCAGTGGTGCTTCTCCTGGGCTCTGTGGCCCTCACGGTGAGAATAAAATGCTTACATGTTGTGTTCACATGTTGCTCTCTTCTAGAAAGATGATCTAGTTAATTGCTGTACATGTTTTAAATAAAACTGAAGTAATATTACAGAATTAAGATCGCACTTCGGTTAGTGTTGTCTCTGTTCTGTGATAATTGGTTCATTCAATATTTAGAATTCTACAATGTGATAACCTTGTGCTGCATTTGGCAATAATTTGAAATTTGATATCCTTTGAAAATTCTGAGCTCCAGTCAGACACATTCATAAATTTCACAGTGTGACATCAAATATACATGAGTCCCCACACAGTCAGTGGTAAACAAATATTACTTCTACAAAGTGTAGTTATTACAAAATGTGTGCGTGGTCCCCCTCCATATAGATTTTCTGTAGCAGTATCACTTGTGCACAGCAGAGTTCTGGCGTGTGTGTCTTTTTCCACTTTAGCACATTTTATGTTAGTAATCGTCAGCAGGCACATGTAAACAAATACATAATCATGAGTGGAAAAGAGTGGAAACTAGAGCTCTATTTGCTTAATGGTGAACTTTAAACACTGATCAGGTGTAGACGATGTAGATTGTTTCTTTACTGTAGTGCCAGCAAAAAAAATACAACTTTCTGTTGGTGAAACTTGCTTAATTGGTTTTGTTTAAACAGATAATGCTGCTACATAAATGAGAAATTTCGTTTTATCTGGTAGAGAAACTGATTTTGAAATTCTTTTTCTCATGCTCAGGATTCAGTAACGAGCCTTTTGATGTTTTGTGTGTGTGTGTGTGTGTACACAGGTGCTGGGGATCCACTTCAACAAGTGGCGGCTGGATTTAAAGCTGGGCGTGTACGTCCTCGTCCTGTATGCCGTTTTCCTCTGCTTCTCTATCATGATAGAATACAACGTCTTCACTTTTGTCAACCTTCCCATGTGTATGGAAGAGTAGAGCACAGCAGCATGCCTCGAATACCAAAACCTCAAGGCTCCCATAGCAACCCTCAATTTTCTTTTCTACAATAACACGGACCTATCAGCAGACTGTTCTCCTCCTCCTTTGCACTCTCTTCTTTGTAATCCTCTTGTCCCAAATATGAATCAAATTTACTTACGAGGCAGTAAGCTGTAAGAATGGATGCCGTTGTACGTCTCAAATTTGTCTCCTTGTCACACAGTGCCGGTCCTTAATGCCCGTTATTTGGGGCATTGCCTGTTACTGCAGTAAAGTATTTAGTTCCTCTGTGCGCCTGCTATCTTTCTACCCATCTAGCATGCCTTTAGATGTTGGGGACCTTCAGAAATCATAAGTGCCCCTGTTAATTGTTGGTGTGTTTTCAATGTTCACGTTGTAGAGATTCACACACCATTTCCAAAGCCTTTCCACAAACCAAAAGAGTCTGTCGAGGAAAAAGGAAAAAAATAAATAAAAAATTAACAAACCACAAACCTTGATCCCAATCTAAACCCTCACAGAGAGCTTTCCTTAAAGTAATTCCTTAAAGATTTACCAATTACCCAAGAACCCAAAGACTCACTCGCTCTTCAGCTTTCTGGAGGAGGGTCTTGTCCTTGGCAGCTCCCCTCCTCCAGCTTGGACCTGACTCTCCTGGCATGGCCTTTGGCATGAGGGAGCAGCTACAGTTAGTGCTACACTTCACTCACTTGCCATGTGCAACTCCCAACCCTCTTCTGCTTGATCAAATGTTTGTTTTCTTAAAAAAAAAAAGACCTTTTTGTCTGGACACTTTGTGTCAAGTTGTATCACAGTCCAGATCCGATGACTGTGAGAGGTGTTATGCATATGCAGCACTGCACAATGTAAATTTGTAAACACTTTTTTTGTATTTTTTTTCAAAACAAGGTTTTGTTTAGTATGAAATACGGAAGAGAGCTTGTTGCAAATATTGGACATTGCCTGTTTTTCACTGAAACAAATTGCACATGGAAATGCTTTTTGTTGCTTTCTGCTGTAAGGAGATTTGACCACTCAGAGGTACTGGCTGGCAGTGGCGACTCCACTCCAGCTTTATTTTAGTTTAGCAATGTGTCAATCCACTTTTCCCTCCGCACAAGTTCAGAAAGACAAACGGACGACTGGCTCCACATCTGATCTTTCTCATCAGGTGGCGTTCTCATTTTGAGACTGCATCCGCATGAAGATATTTGTTCCAAAAGAAAACCAAACAGAAAATGCAAAGAAACCAGATGGTTCTCAACACTGTCTGCTATATCACCTTCTGGCCAGTAGGGACTACTGCAGCTCCTCTTCCCAGAGCAGAGGGGGGCAACCACAGCTGTCAGTTATCAGGGAAACACAGAGGTGGAGATGGTCTCTTGATTTTGAGTTACATGTAGATACTGCACTTTAACAGCCGTCCTCTCATTCTGAATCAACTAGTGCTTCCTTATGTGCGTGTGTATGTTCAGTGTATAAGTGTCCGTGTGACTGTGTGCGTGTGTGCCAGAGAACATTGAGTGCATGTGTGCGGGCCCACGCTACGTTTCTCACACCGGACTCGAAAACAGACCGGGACCTCGTTAACAACATGAGCACACCTGTCTGCAGTGCATGCTGGGACATCTAAAGCAGCTCCTCCACAGCACAGCGAAAGGCTGAGGGCCTCTGGGCATGTCAACGAATGCCGCCCTGCCCACTTTTACAAAAAACGGCAGCTACGAGCCACACTGCAATCCAGACATTTTGACATCATGCAAAAATGCCTGTGAGGAGTCCGCAAGTGAGGCGCAGAGACTTAAAAACTATGTTCGTGGAGAGTGTTAAGTGTTGAAAATATCCCTCTGCCCCATTGTTGGCAGCAGGCACTTGTATATGCAATCTCAATGTAAAGAATTTGTGACAGAAGGACCCCCTCCCCCCTGCAAGAATGCCATATAAGGATGGAGGGGGGAACCTTGAAGATGTGATGTCAGTTTGTCTACTAGTACTTGATGTGTGAGCTCACAAGTGTGTTTGTGACAGCTGAGGAACTCGGTGCAAAGGGTGGAAGTGTCTGGAGCAGTGGCTTTGTGGGTAGTCTGGTGTCTCCTCTTACACACAATCCTTTGTCGTCTTTCGCCACTCGCATTAACTCCTCGCCAACCCTGGCTCGAGGAGGTCGGGGGTAGCAGCGAACATGGGATGGTGGCATGAATGGCTTTTCTCAGTTGTTGTCGTTTTGGGGTTTGTTTGTTTTTTTTGTTTGTCCCCCCCCATTAAATTCCAGAGTGAGAGCAGGCTCTAAAGGATTTTTTTTTTCTCTCTTAAAGAATTAAAAAAAAAAAAAAAAAAGTCAGACCCACCCCAAAAGCTGCTAGTCTGTCAGGGTTCAATGACTGTGGATCAGCTGGAGGTGACCACACAGGGAGTCCACCAATCACCCACCCTTGTACAACAATCCTCTGACCCTCCCAACACTTTTAGTGGCAACTCTGTACATATATACATAGCCGCTGTTTTCTTTTAATTTATATTTTTTATGCTTTCTTTGAAGAAGGCATATTTGTACTGTACTTGGGTTGATTCGGAAATTTTTTTCTTTTTCTTTTTCTGTGTATAGTCTTTGCCCACTTAAGTGGGCAAGGGCGCACCAGGGTTAAACAGCTCATCTGTTTGTTGGACACGGCGTACATTCTCATTAATTTTCTGATTTTTTTTATTTTTATTTTTTAAATGGAGGAAGTGGGGGGGGGATGAAAGTAGACTTCAGAGGCCATATTTGTTGTAGCTCTGCGAAAATCCAGATTGTATGGAAATCCTGTGGGGGGGACATAAGTGCACAAACTTTCAGGCACACATTTAAGAGACTGAGACGGCTTGTGTGTATTTGACTGAATGCGACCTGATGCACTGTGAGCTCAATGTGACGTGGGAGTTGTTTGTCAAGAGTAATAATGATTACAAATATATTTAATGTAAAGTTAGTTACTAAACATTACTGAGGACATCTGTATAACTTATATGAATGTATTGTCTTGCTATACTGGACATATCCAACCAATGCATTTTACTGTAAAGCAATAATGTGAGGAAAAAAATAATAAAATGGCAAAATAATTCCTGTACATTTGTCTCAGAAGTTACTGTTTGTGAAATGCGTTAATTAAATGAAGCCATTTGTACATGTACCTAATGCTTGTTCTGTTTCTCGCCGCATGAACTCAAATTTCAAATTAAGGGGCCTTTTGCCTGTTTGTACCCACTGTTCAGTAAATTAAGTGGTGCTTCTGTGAACCTTTTTCTTATGTGCCCACTCATGAGAGTGCAGCTAGGACATGAGCCACTGGACAGAACAGTAGTAGTTTGAATGAGGTAGATTGCAAGCAGCTACAACAGTTTCCTTGTTGTATTATTTCAGGATTTTACAAATCACAAGGCTTGGATTACTCATTTTGTGGAAAATTAATACTTGCATATACTCCCCTGATATTTAGCAAAAATGTATTTTACAGTATTGTCCCAATTTTGGTCAGGTGCTAACATCCTGCAGAGCCTGCACACAGTGAAGGGATAAATCACTTTCTGGAAAAATGGGCCGAACAGAAGTAGTTTTACTTGTCTGCTTGTATCGGGTGTCAAGATGACCTAATACGAGCATGTTAATGATGACCCGCTGTAAAGTCCTTGTAGTAGTAATAATAATGGATTGCATTTATATAGCGCTTATCACACACTGGTGATGATACTGGTTGTACTGAGGATTTCCACTTTATTTTATACTGTATTCCCGTAATGATTATTTCTGAGAAACTAATTCACCTAGATTTTCAGCTGTATACTCATGAGCTAATTTGTTAGGTACACTTTATCTGGATCACCGCTAGTACTAACTTACACCCCCTTTGCCTTCAGAACTGCCCCAGTTCTGCATAAATTCAACAAGGTGCTGGAAACATTTCAGATATTTTGGTCCATGTTGAGATGATGGCATCCCACATTTGTTGCAAATATTCCATCTGGACATCAATGATGTGAAGCTTCCATTCCACCACACCAACCAGTTTTGAGATGATTAGAGTTTTGTGGCATACTGCATTATTCTGCTGGAAGCAGCCATTAAAAGATAAGTACGCTGTGGTCATAATGGGATGGACACGGTAGGCGACAACACTCAGCAAGGCTGTGGCTTTTAAATGGTGCTCAGTTGGTACTAAGGGGACCACAGTGTGCCAGGAAAATATTCCTCACACCAGGAGCCTGAACAGTTGATACAGGCATGATGGAACCGTGCTTGGTTTGACCCTCATCAGATCACATCGAGTTTCACATGTTTTTGCATTTACTGGTATTTATTCTGTAAGATGTCTTATTTCTAGTTAAGGTTTGGAAAGTTTGCATAAAATGATTTTCCAGTAATTCATTTTAATTTCTTGGTATAAGATTTAATTAACTGGAAGTGACAGCACTTGAGGACGATTTCAGACTTGCTGAATCAATCACATTTTCCCCTTAAACCAAGAGCCAATTGTATAAGTGCAGTTTCCACAGTTAACATATATAATGATTCTTTCTTGTTCAAAAACCCCTCAAGATAAAAGTAGACTTTTTCTGTAGTTCTCATAGCTGCTGTTGCACAACCACGATTAATGCTCTTTTGAACAAAAGTGGTCGTCTGGAGAAAAAAACCTCTTTATTATTCCGGCTACATCACTATGGCTTGATTGCATCCTCAATTATTACATCTTACTCACTGATGTTCCTCACTACAGAATTCACAGTTTTTTAATTAAGTTCCAGCATCTTCCAGTCACATCAGCAGTTGATAAATTCACACTCAATCAACCCTCAAAGTAATAACATGCAACAATACTCTTTATTTTGGGATATGTGTTCAGACAGAAAGCAAATAAATCATCTGCTACTTGGTTGAAGCATCCCTGCAAAGAATCGCTAAATGAATGAGTCCCACTTCTGATATAGATGTAGCTGCTGCAGCGTGTGTTTCTCCTTCAGTGAATGACGAGTAATGATTTATTGGTCCTCACTTGAAACTTGTCTTGTGGGATAATCAAGCTGAAGAGGGCTGTACTTATTAAGACAGGGTGATTGCAAACAATGTGTTATTTACAATGACAGCTGGCAACATGTGAAGAGTCCATTGAGCGGCGAGTGACGGGGAAAAAACCATTTTGATTGTATCTCTCCTCCATTAATCTGGAGTTACAGTCAGTAGCACCAGTAGGGGGCAATGTTGCAACAGGATTTATGTTTCAGTGCCACCAACAAACTTTGCAAAACAGAAGCTCAGGATAAACTGACATAGAGCTCTTCTCCCCCCAGTGAATTAGACTTTGGCACTCTATGATATAAAGTTTCAGTTATCAAATTGTGACAAAGTCACACAATGAGTGCCTTCTATACCATTCCATCACAAAAAATATACTGCGCATCATTTGTTAATGATGGATGTCGATAACCTTCTTCATCCAGACGGACAGCCATCTGGTGAGGCCAGCAAGGCCCATGCAGGCGACTGGTGCTTCTCCCTAATGAGCCACCTCTTGGCTACCCTACTACAGTTAACAAGCTCCTCTGTCAGCCGTGATCTTGTGCACTGATGAGTTCCCTCTTTGCCCCCTAACAAGCCCGTTTGGGCAGCTACTCTGTGTCTCCCCTGAATGCCGGCTTAGCTCTCCTTCGCCATTTGCTGTGCCACATTTAGAGTCAAGGCCCACGCATCCTGGCCTTGACATATACAGCACCATAATCCTGCTTTGAAAAGTTGTTTATCTGTTCACCCGCCGCCTCCACAGCTATAGTTTGGGGACATTTTCTTTCCTTGTTTGTGCTTTGCCAGTATTTTTGACACCATGTTGCTGTTTGGGTAAATGGCTGTGCTGCAGTGATGGATGGTTAGCAAACTGGGTTGCTGCTGCTTGCTGCATTCGCTCATAAGGGCATCCTGTACTGCTGAATGCAAGGTGTTGTGGGCAAATGGTAACCTCAGGAGCCAAGCGAGAGTGCCAGAAACTGCAGTTCTTGTCAAAAGCAGTTTTGGCTTTCATAGATAGTTTGGAGTATTTTATTTTTTTTAAATATCCTTGAGCGTCAATGCCAGCGTCGGGCCTGGGGGATTGAGGATGCTGCGCAGCATCTTGGTTGTCCTTCTGAACAGAGCTCTTGGGTGTTTTTCCTGTGATCTGCTGGATCCATTTAGCCAATATGTGTCTTTGCCTTATTTTTGCCATAATTTATGTATGCAGCTTACTAACTACCAGGTAGCACACCATTATATGCCAACTAGCTCTACTTCAATAACCATACAAAGACTGATGCTGTTTTGCTTTCCATCTTTTTCTGTCTTCATTTATCCAAGGTGATAGCAGGGCTGCATGTTCCAGTTTTTTAGAAATTCTGGTCATAACATGGTATATCATCTTTAGATGGAAACTAGCGAGCTAACTTCCTGCTAACTTGTAACTGTTGAACTTTGTAATTTGCCTTTTTTAATTAATGTTTGTATCTTAAACTGTATTGTAGCACTTAGGAGAGCAGCCACACTAAACAATTTACTGGAGATGAAAGAATTTGAGGCAATTTTAACTCAGTAATGCTGCAGTGTTTGAATTTGGGAACTGAAGAAAACTCTGGCTAATAATGTTGATAAGAGGCAGATTAAACCACTCCTGGCTTCAACAAAACATGGCTTTGGCCAAAACCACTAAGTAATGTTGAGGTGACTACGTCCATTCTTTAGCATTTCAAAGGGTGTACGTTGCTTCTTCAGCCTCAGGTTTGGTTTGTACTCCCCTATACTAAAATTAGCATTTGAACCTTGACCATAAACTTCTGTTTAATGAATTATGTGCACCCAAATTACAAAAGAAGCTTTTTTTTTTGTAACTTACCCAGTCATATTTAACAGCCAAGCACATTTTTATTTTGGCCAAGTTTTGAGACACCATCTCTGCCTCATTAAATGAAGGCATATGGGAGTTTGTTGTTCTTGCAAAAACACACTGGTTTCCATAATCCGCACACATTGTTGTGAACAATTTTGACAAAAAACAGCTTTGAAAAAACTGTAGCTTTAAAAACAAACATGTAGTCTCCATGTTTGCCATGAGTTTCCAGTCCAGTGGCATACATAGTACAAAAAGGCAAACAGAGACACCCCCCCCAAAAAAACAAACAATCTTTCTTAATTGTTTAACAAGATCCAGATAAAAAGCCAAAAATACCATGTTATGATTCTGAGCTGATTGTCTTTTAACTGTATGTCATCTATAATTCGGCTTTGAGATCAGACGACTTCACACCCACTCACATCCTGGGCCATTTGACCTCAGTAA